CCTTTAAAATCAACTTAAAACCGCGCTGTGTTTTCTTGAGTTTGAACAGTTCAGAAATCCTTTCTCTTAAAGTCGCGCTGAGTTCAAGTCCTTTGCTTTTGGCTGCAAACAGTAAAGTTGTTGACCTGTTAGTACACAAATAAAAAACAAGTCAGAACAAACTCGGTTTGCTGGAAGAAAAAACAATACTTACAAACTGCCGAATTAATATTAATTGGAATCGACATTCCATCAATCAAAGGTTTGTTGAAATTCGGAGTCTGCCAATCCCCACCAACCCAAAGCCATTCCTCTTGGAACCCATGCAGCGAATCTGGAATTTCTGTGATTAAATCACCGATTTTAAATCCGCTTTGAGGTCTTCCCGCGCAGGCGTAACAAATTAAAGGATCTGCTACTTGCCTATCGGCACATCTCCTAAACGAGTAAAGACTCCTTAGTTCTTCAACGGTTGGCATATCCCAACCCTTTTCCTTCAACAAAACCAGAAGACCAATGATTCTCTTCCACGAATTGGGCGCTACTTGACACAAACTGATCCCCCAATTCCTTAAATAATCTGTGATTAAAGCGGGAAGCGGAAATCTCAAGCCTGACCTCAATGAGTCGGCAAAAACACCAACACAACCTGGTGGAGGACACGTAATTCTTTCACCCGGATACGGAGCAAACAGCTTTACCGAGGAAGGAATATAAACTTCTCCCTGAAGCATAACAATGTCGGCGTCGGTAAGAATACTCGGTTCGCCCCTATACTCGTCAATTGGCTCCGGCCACCGACGAGCAGGACGTCTCCAGTAATCCGGAAGCGACATAGCATCTTCTTCAACTCGTTTGTCCTCATCGACGATATCTTTATTAAGATTTAGTTGCTTTACCAGAAGAGGATCCCACCGATAATACTCGAGAGGCAATTCCAAATCCTCGTCGGTTAAAATCGGAATATCGGAAATTGTCCGACTACTACTATTCTCAGTTTGAGCAGACATTTGCTTTCGAACTCAATGAAAATCAAGGAAAACTCGACAGAGAACAAAGCACAGAAAAATCAAAGAAAAAGCTTACCGAGAACCAAGAACAATCAATTGATGAAGGAATGAAGGAATCGCGCAAGCAATGAAATTTGGAGAGAAAGAAACTTAGAAAGTAACGAACAGAGAAAAGGTGAAGAACTAGAAGATGAACAGTGAAGAAACCCTAAATAGTTACATCAATGCCTATTTAAAGGTTTTGATTTTTTACCGTTGGAAAAGTCTCGAAACGGCGCGTGTAACGGACGTATCTTCAAAGGACATAACGTTACGGTAATTATTAACCTACGTGGCCATATCCTGAAACGCCATGTCGTTATAAAATTATATCCGTTGGACCCATTTAATGCGGACACGTCTTTTAAGAGCCGCCATGTCAGATCAAATGCCATAAGTGTCAAAAGTGTTCTCATGTCGGTAAACAACGCAAAACAAGTCGGAATATAGTGGAACAACATACGACATCAGCAACTATTTAAAAAGCTTCAAATACTTACTGATGTCGGGGGCCTCACTGTTGATATCAAAACCAGTAACAGAGATTGAAGACGGAGATTAATCGTATTATCGAAGAAGTAAGTTTGCAAGAAAGTAAACTTACTACAAGTCGGTATGTATTGGAACAAATTACCGACTTCTGAAGAATTACCGACTTTCAAAAGATCCAACTTCCGAAAGGTCTTCAAAAGAACCGAAACCGACTTCAGTTCAACCGACTATCACAAAGTTTGAATATTCCAACAGAAAGTAATCATTAGAAGCATCTGATTGGACCAACGAAACAAAAAGGCAATCATTGATGTTTCCTGCCGCTTCAAACGAAGCAGCTCAACATTAAATGCATCTTTATCTATTTCGAGCAAGAAGACAAAAGCCACCGTACTATAAATAGCAGAATTTATGATAGTACGGGGGATTTTTTTCGAACACATGGTACACAAACAAAAGACAATCTCGGTTTTCAGTCTACAACCGACTTCTGTACTCTTGTGAACATAATCAATAAAATCCAAATAAGCATTTATCTTTATTTTCTTGACATCAACTGTGTTTAATTTTAAGTTGTTAATTCAAGACAACAACAGAAACATTAATAAATGTATTAATTACAAACATTATAATACATATCATGTTACATTAGAATATAAAAAATGAAATTGTTTTTTTTTTGTAATTTAATTTCCAGCCATACTCAATCAAACATATAACTACAAAATGATAAGAAAGATTAGTTTCATAACTAAAATTAAAAATTTAGCTCCCCAAATGGTAAAACCTTATAAATTAGTAGTATAGATACATTTAAATGACATATAATTTATAAACTTAGACTATACGCATAATAAGATGAATTAAAAAAAATTAATGAATTAACTAAATAAATTATTATTATAACACAGTCTATATAATTATTATAGCAAAGTCTATATTGTCAATATTATCATTTAAAATGTTCATTGAAAAAACATATGTATAAAATAAATCCATATGATCATAATTAATAGTGCAAAATTAACATTCTTTGACTTTCTATTTGGTAGTAATAATAAAATATTTTATATTACTACTATTTAATAAAATGCATGATTTCTGCATATTTGATTATCGCAATCAACATTCTTTTTTTATAAATTAAAAAGTGTGTTGAATTAATTGTCTCATATTTTTCATTAAAACAAAATAACTGTTGGCCGTGAAAAAAAATATTATTTCACAATTATAAATATAAATATGATTAATTTTTATTAAACAATTCCTCTTTAAGAAAAAAGTGGCGGAACAAATTTCTGCATGATTATAGCATCAAAACATATCTAAAACATCAATATTTTAATGCATTAAAAACATACTTTCAGCAATAGAAAAGTCATATTAAACGAAAATTGGCAAAGTCAAAGAACGAGAATTGAAAAGCCATTGTATGTAATGGCAGATTGTTGCATAATATAGAAATATCAAGCATAATTAACAATTAACAAAAAAAAAGTCAAATCTATATGAAAAATCAAAATTAAAAATACAAAAAATTATGTGGAACATTATTGAACACTATACAATATAGAAAGAAACGTAATTTGATTTCCCTATCATTATCAACATATTCAACTTTTACCAAGACATCTGCCTTTATATTAAAATCGATTTTTTTGCGTAAAAGTTTTAAAAATTAAATTCCTACACATTCTTTTAAACATTAAACAAGAAATTCCTAATATGCGATAAATATATCTAAACAGATTTGTTATAAACTTACCTAATATTTCCAAATTTTGAACAAAATACTAAAAAATTTGAAAAACTTCGGCAAAAGACTTTGAATATCTTCGAAAAGCGATTTTGAACAAGTGTTAGCAAAGTTTCACTTACTGATATGATGAGAAAGACAACAAAGAACTATTTAGTTTTTCAAAATCTGAACAAAATACATAAAAGTTACATATGTATGTTATAAAAAGATATGAACAGATATGTTATAAACTTACATATATATATTTGTTAGTAGAGCTGAACATATCTGTTAGAAAGTTACATATTTTTTCAAACCCTAAACAAAATACATAAAAGTTTGAAAAAGTTCGACCAATGTCATGTTCTCTTCGAAAAACGATTTTGAAAAACATCTAAATAATTTCGAATTATGTATAAACTATGATATATCTTGAAGCTTATTCACAAAGAATTTCGGAAAACGACACAGATCATTGAAAATAATAAAAAATAAAAACTACGTTTAACAAAAAATATTTCAGCTCCTCATAGATTTGTAATATTATCGCCCGATTTTGACCGACATGTTAAGATTTAGCAACACAGATTAAGAAATCGGGACGAATATTTTATTTTTCGATCACTACTGTTGGTTTTTTTTTTTTATTTTTGAAACCTTTATCGGGAGAAAATCTCCGGTAAAACAGTTGTTTTGTATTGAATCTCGCCGAGTTTGTCGTAATATCGGGTTAAGGATTAGAGTTTCAGAAAGAGTGAATAAGCGCCGACATCAGACAAAAAAAAAAATGGCTTACATCACTTTCAAGGAGTTTATCTCTATTTATAGTCATGTTATCATTGACCTGTTTTATATTTGATTTTGGCTACCCTAAAAAATTAAGTGGACTTCTAATTTGGGCTTTTTTTATCATTCAATCAATATATTTCTTTATGGCCCAAAAATTTTCATTTTGTTCAAATGTCTTAAATATTTGGCACATATCATTATTTATCAACCAAATACAATTATTTATTTTGTAATATTTTGCTGGTATATTTTTAGTATTTTTTTTTAAAATTTCCTATATGATCTATAGTACAAAATACAATAATTATTTAAACAATTAAAACCATTATATGTCTTAATTTGAAGATATGATTTGTAGTGATGGAAATTCTGTTGATAGAAAAACCACAAACGTTGTATATAAAAAATTGTTTAACAATATTTAGTTATTATTTCTTAGAATATTTTTCCAATGATTATATTATGATTTTTACTATTGTTTATATATTTTTATTATTTTTTTTTCTATTATATTGTTTTCCGTATAAATGCACGGGTTAAAAACTAGTATCTACGAAACCCAGCGTAGTAAGTTAAAAATAAAACCGACCCTTTCTCTTGCCCCTGAAACATATAAAATAATAAAACTAGTTGCTCAACAAAACAGGCAGCAAATATTAACAAAATAAAATAAAATAAAATAAAATAAAAAACCAGTGGCGGTTGTTGTTTCTTTTTTGGGGGGTTTTATTGCTATTTTTGTAGCTTGTTATTTAATAGTCATGTTTTATTGATTTGATAAGCACGTAGTATTAAATAATTCCCCTTTCCCCAAGAAACCTAATCCTCCCTGTTTTAGGTTTTCCTTCCTCAAAAACACAATATATATATTGGGTTAGATTTATTACACACAAACACAGCAAAAACAGTAGCACTTGAATATATACCAATTTCAAGCGATTTTTTCTTTTGGNTTTAAATTAAGTTCCTCAGAGCTCCCAGTTTCCCTCTAGCTCCTGCATAATTTTATCCTGTAATTTGATATATACTTTGATTTCTTCCTTTTTTTTCTTCTGGATTTTCAGTCGTTCAAGATGAATTATTGAGCTATCTATTCTTTTTAGAGATACCCTTTCTTCAAAATCTAGTCTTGAAATTGTTTTTGTTCTAAACCGTGTCGAACAGAGGAATTTTTATTATTTATTTTTGAAAAAAAAAATCAGACTACTTGTTGTTTTTTTCCCCTGCTTTTCAAGATAATTGCTCGGACTTTCTTCTTTGTGGGCCAAGTAATTACTTTTTTTTTCCTCCCCTTTTAGAACCTTTTTTTCTACTTTTTAATTTCTTGCCCTCCAAGTTTGTAACTTGTCCTCTCCGCCATGGTCCCATTTGGTAACCATCAAGAAAATTCAAAACTTTCTGCTCAAAAGCTTTCACCTTTACATACTAATAACCCTCACGACTCAAACTCCGATATCGATCAAGATTCTTGCCCGTCCGATTGCGAAAGCTCGATTTCTGGGCCCGAAAACGAGCAACCACAGCTTCACGGCCCGCAGAACGATTTTGTTACAATTCATAAAGGGGAGATGATTTACGAGACAATCGCGAAAAAGCTTGTGACGAGCTTGAGCTCTCGTGGGCTCGACCCGCGGGTCGAGTCCATTTATAGGAACCGATTTTCGAGCATTAATGGCCGAGCCAGAGTCGAGTCTTTTGGCGTGTACTCGAGGGCCGTGCAAACGAAGTGTGGAGGCAATGCGAATTTGACGTATGCTTGGTTTGGTGCTTCGAAGAATGAGATTGATATGATTATTGATTATGGTTTTGGGCTTCCCAGAAGTGGGCTAACACATGGGCGTGGAGTTTATCTCTATTCGATCAATCATCCTATTGAAAGGTACCATCTTTTTTTCACCGTCCAACTTGCTTATTTTCGATTCTGGATTGTGTGTGCATAAGTTTTTTCTCCTTTATGTGAATTCACCTAATTGATGTATGTTACTTGTGTTCTTTGTGATTTGAATTTGCTCTTGCAACTAATATAAATCGACCGGTTAATGTAGTGTTCAAAGTGTGTGCATAAGTTTTTTTTCCTTTATATGATGTTACTAATAATGTATGTTACTTGTGTTCTTTGTGATTTGAATTTGCTTGTGCAACTAATGTAAATCGACGATTAGGTAGCTTTTCCAAGAAGTCCAATAAATTTTTTGTTTCAACGAAGTATCTAATTACCATCGGCATCTTAAAGGAAGTGAGCCATTAGCTTATCTGTTAATTTTTACCACACACTTTTATTATATAAACTAGTTTTTCAGTCATAACTCATAAGTTATCAGCTATAAGCTCAAAATTCACTTAAAAACTACGAAGTCACATAATGTATGTTACTTGTTTCCTTGTGATCATTTGAATTTACTTGTGCAACTAATGTAAATCGACCGGTTTTCTAGTGCAAAGTGTGTGCATAAGTTTTTCTCCTTTATATGATGTCACCTAATGTATGTTACTTGTGTTCTTTGTGGTTTGAATTTGCGTGTGCAACTAATGTAAATCGACCGATTTCGTAGTGTTCAAAGTGTGTTCATAAAATTTTTGCCTTTATACGAAGTCACCTAATGAATGTGTGTTACTTCTTTCCATCTGATTTGAATTCGCTTGTGCAACTAATGTAAATTGACCGGTTAATGTAGCGTTCAATCCGCTTTGCCTGACGAAAATGGACTAAGGCATATTCTTCTTTGCCGTGTAATATTGGGAAAAACCGAGCTCATATCTCCCGGCTCGCAACAAAATAATCCGAGTTCCGAAGAGTTTGATTCTGGGGTCGATAATATCGAAACCCCACAGAAGTATATCGTGTGGACTTCGCGTATGAACACTCATATCTTGCCTGAATTCTTAGTGAGTTTCAGAGCATTACCCTCTAACTCCAGAGGTAAAAGATCACAAGATCAGTGTCCTAATATATTATTGTAATTTTTATCTAAGTTTCGTTATAATCTTTCTGCGAATTGAAGCCTTATGTTTGTTTTGTCGAATGTGGCGTTTTGCAGGATCTCGACCAAATTCGAACCGGATGCCTTTTCCAACTTTGATTAATGTTCTTACAAAGTACTTACCTTGTGATGCAGTTGAGTTGATCAGAATTCATCACAGTGATTTCAGGGTACATATTCTTTTTATTATTAGATTTATATCTTGTATGATTTGAGGACTATGAATATTATTTAGTTATGTTCTAACTAGATTTATGTTTTCTCATAATGTACAGAAGCAGAAAATAACAAGATCCGAATTGGTTAGACGCGTGAGACATATTGCTGGAGACAAGTTGTTGATAAAGATCATGAAATCTTGCAAACGAAAGGTAATTATTTGTATGTGTGCGTGTGCAAAATCATATTACCAATCCTAACTTAGATTCTGACTTAAACTATTTTTTTTTATTTTTATTTTCAGAAATCGAAAGTGTGTTTGAACTCTGATATGAAGCTAATTTAGNTACAACAATATTTTCTTACAAATTTTACTTTATTACTTATACTTTATTTGTTAAATTATTTAACCATCAACAATACTTTCTTAAAAAAAATGTATATATATATATAGGGAGTGGTTCAAATAAAAACCTTTTTTGGTGTGAAAACCGTGAGAACCATATTTGATGCTATTTTTAATTGTGTATGATGCTATTTTTAATCTTACATGGTGCTATCATTTTTACAAATGCTAAGTTGCTATTTTTAATAAAATACATCCTGATTAAAAATAGCACTAAATACAATCAATCATAGCACTACATACAATTAAAAATTACAAATGCTAAGTTGCTATTTTTAATAAAATACATCCTGATTAAAAATAGCACTAAATACAATCAATCATAGCACTACATACAATTAAAAATTACAAATGCTAAGTTGCTATTTTTAATAAAATACATCCTGATTAAAAATAGCACTAAATACAATCAATCATAGCACTACATACAATTAAAAATTACAAATGCTAAGTTGCTATTTTTAATAAAATACATCCTGATTAAAAATAGCACTAAATACAATCAATCATAGCACTACATACAATTAAAAATTACAAATGCTAAGTTGCTATTTTTAATAAAATACATCCTGATTAAAAATAGCACTAAATACAATCAATCATAGCACTACATACAATTAAAAATTACAAATGCTAAGTTGCTATTTTTAATAAAATACATCCTGATTAAAAATAGCACTAAATACAATCAATCATAGCACTACATACAATTAAAAATAGCGGTTCTCACGGTTCTCACGCTAGGACTTGGTTCTCATTTGAACCACATCCTCTATATATATATATATATATATATATATATATTTTAAAATATCATACCTCTATGAATATTAAAATACGTAAGACGGCCTACAGAAATCACCACAATGCAACTAAAAAACGTGGACTTGTAGGAATCAACAAAACATGGACAGCTCACAATTTTAGCCAGCACAATTACTTAACCAAAGGCTGTGGGTTAATTAGGCAGATTAATTAATAAAAGATGCTTTCGTTGGAGATAATTATTATCTTCTAGTCCTTATTTTACTTCTTCTTTTTTTCTTTAATTCATATTTCAATTTTATGAGGAGTTAAATTTAGGGCAATAGTTTTGGCAAGTGATATCTAACTCCCCCATCCTATTTACTCAAAAGCCTTGAGCCCAAAATTTGGTTTACCCCTTTACTTGATCCATAAGTTTCACTTGATTGTGTAGCTTGAAAAGTTAATTTCTAGACTTAATTAATGCATTCATTCAATAATGTGACACTATAAAAATGACAAATACATTTGAGGTTGCTTTGAGTTCAAGTGAAATATCTTATTCTAGAAAAAAGAAAACATAGTTTAGGTCAAAAGAAGCTCAATATTCAGATTTCAGAAAATCATAAACTATATACACAATTTACAAACCAACCCATTAGCCATTAGGTGTGGTCAAATCTGATCTTATTATTGAAAATAATAAGTTGGGTGGTAAAACAAGTTTGGTAAAACTTTCAGATGAATATTATAAGACCAACCGTGAAAAACAAGTTTGGTAAAACTACAGTACAAAAAACAGTCACAATTAAGTAAT